AAGACTGTCTTTGTACTGCTGCGTGGCCCCATTCTGCGCCACTCCAAGATGTCTTCAAGTGCAAGCAAAATAATTTCAGAGAGCGGCAGCAAGACGCTAGCTCCTTGATCTCCTGGCGCTCGCTCAAGTACAGAATCCCTTAATAAAGTATCCCCAGAATGCACAATGTGTACTTGAAAACAGCCGCGGTAGATAACAGTCTGGCACCCGAAGTCTAAATGCACGACAGAGTTCTGTTTAGAAAGGCTTTTAGTGGTTACAGAACACAGAATATAGACAAGAACTGTGCTGAGAGGTGAGGGGAAGTTAAAAGAACAGGTCACAACTGAGAGACGCTATTCCAATTGAAATTCAGAAAATTTAGAAGTTCTTTCCATTTCCACGTGTAAGCGTTTTCCACAGACAGCTATTTTAGATTTGGCTTATGCTGGTTTGTTCTGGATTCCCGATAGATGAGGCTTCCACGGGACTATCCTGCTGCACTAAATGAATGTTACTTGCTTGGATGCTTCCCATGTTTTTCTGGGAGAGTAACAAGCCCCTTATCTCACACGAAATCGAGGGACCGTCCACTGACAAGTAAGGTCATTCACTATATACAATTTGTTACTTAATACCCCTCCAAGTATTGTTTATTTGCTTTTGCAGCTGGTCCAAGTACAGTACACTAATCCCCACTAATCCTGAATGCCTGTACAACGGGGAGACTTCCATTTGCTTGAGTCAAAAACGAAGACAGCCATTTGCAGCTCACTACACAAACTGATGGGACGAAAAACCCAAAATAAAAGCCACTTGCTCCTTACGTGTTGAACAAGACAGTACTCCTTTACAAGTAAGCGTCTGGACCAGAATAGTTGAGGCGACTTTCAGTTGTGTAAGTGTCTGAATTCCTAAAGAAAGGTCTGTACAAACAGATCTCCAGCTATACTAATTCTCTGCTCTTAAAAGTTACATCCATAATGTATCATAGAATGATGGAATGGTTTGGGCTGGAAGGGCCCTTCAGAGCTCGCCCAGCCCAGCCCCTGCAGCGACAGGGACAGCTTTAACCAGAGCAGGGTGCTCAGAGCCCCGGCCAGCCTGGCCTGGGATGGTTCCAGGGACGGGGCCTCCACCGCCTCTCTGGGCAACCCCTTCCAGAGCTTCACCACCCTCGCTGTAAACAATTTCTTCCTTATCTCCAGTCTAAATGATGCCTTTCAATGCCGCCAACTTGAAAGTTCTGGCTGCATCCCCCAAACCCCGCTATTGCTAATTGTGTCCCGTGTTCCCGGCACTTCATAGCTTATAATTTCAAGGACACTGTACCAAGCTCTGCATTCTATATACTTCTTGAGCTGCATAAAAACCTTTTACTTTTGTTTACTTGGCTTCAATACTTACCTGCACAGGTTCTATGCCTGGCAAAGAAGGGGAAGAACATTGTTTGTTCCATTTTTAGAGCGTAATTCAAACCTAATACCTTAAAAAGTAGCAAACAACTTACAAAGCACTTTCAGGTGTCCCGGTTAATTTTTGGTCTTGGTAATTATTTGTGAATGCAAGCCAACCAATTACAAAAAAGAAAAAATCTGCGTGCAAAATTCCATACATTCCTTTTAACCAATCCACAGTATACCCAAAATCTCTCCAGTACTAGAAAACTGCTCTGAAGGTTTCAGATGTTAAACTAAATGTGTTAAAAAACTTTCACTAAGCTCTGACCCTCTAGAAGGATTCCTAGTCTTTTAGGCAGAAAGAACACAGCCTATATATAGGTTACGCTGACTTGTACTCTGGAGAGACTTCAGAGGTTGGCTCTGATAGATATGGTGCTAATCATTTTTAATGTCTCAGAAGATACTGCAGCCTGGCTATTTTGGGACACCTTTTCACATTATGAGATTCAGTTTCTTTTTCCATTCAATCAGAAAAACCCTTTGGAATTCACTTTGAAGTCCTCTGCCTCAGACATTAATTCTGACAATTAGTTTCCAACTGAAAAAAAAACCCCAAACCTAGAAGCATCACTGTTAGCACCTAATTTTTAAAAACTTCCTAAAGCGTCTGCAAAATGTTTGTGCCAAATTTAAAAACCTAAGCAAACTGATAGCCACTGAAGTTTCACAAAGTCACAGGACGCTTGTTTCTCACCGTCACCTTAATTCAAAGCACTGCTGCAGTGACATTAGAAACACAAAAGCGTCTCATTTGAGCAAGTCACTCTAGTGAAGGTGCACCACCCCAACACTCAAGGAAAAGGATTTTTTTTTTCTAAGCATCATACCAGAGTAGCTGTAGTTCAGCAAAATACACGATTCTAGCTAGCTGGATTCTGTGCAACTTGGACAAGTTGGGCAGGCTGACACAGGCAGAGAAATCTATTTATGGAACAAAAGAAGGCGAAGTAACTAGCACCAACGGCAGGGCACGGGTTAGCTGAAAGCTACCGTTTGGATGAGGACTCCTGGAGGTTCCTTCCATTATTACCACAGTAACTTCCACATAAATTAGTTGTTTCATGCCTTTCACCTACGAAAGCCAGTCATCTTACATGAAAAAAAGCTCCAAGACTCTGCCAGCAATGACACAGTGCCTACGATACCTGTTTAAACAGGTAACACGCATTACCTTACCCTAACCTACAGACAAAACCAAACAAAAAACCCTCTAGAACATATCTAGGTGCAATAGACCCAAGATCGGCAACTTTTAAGTGCTATATATACACACACAGCATCAGAAGTGTTTTTATTCTCCAGACTTGGCCTAGTTACTCTATTTCTGCTTCCCAGTGTTGCCACTTCTTGCTAGGCATGAAGGCTGCTAGAGAGCTGTGCGCTTCTCCCTGCGCCGAGAGGTCACCGTACAGCCAAGCAGCCAAGCTTGCAGCAGCTGTCAGACTGAGAACGAGAGGAACACCAACGGGGGCAGCTGCAATATGCTACGCACTGCCAGACCTGCGTTCTTTCCCGGGACACAGACGCTGTTTGTCTCTGCACGGGTACAGGTGGGCAAGGGGACCTCTGCCCCTGCCCCAATTCCCCCCACAAAGCGGATGCAGATCACGGTGCGCTGGTTCCAGGCACCGAGGTGAAGCTTCAGGAGCGAGAGGGGTAAAGCAGGAGTTTCCCTGGTACAACTGTGGTGAGTGACCACACAGCCTGGAATGGAAAGCTCAGCCCCGCTCGCTCTCCTCCTCCTGCCCCAACCTACCAGGCTGCGATCAAATCAACACTCACCTCCTCTGACACAGGCAAGTTTGCTAGTTTTATTGTTCTTCACTTTCATCCAAATCCATTCTGCTAGCTACTCAACACTTCATCTTTAGAAATGCTGCTCTTAAACTGGCCTTGTTTCCATTCATAAGGCACAAAAAAAAAAAAAAAGAAATTATCCTTAGTTGCGTACAAAACACCCACCAGAATGGAAACAGAATTGCAAGACAACAGATGTTTCTTTCCTAATCAATCAGTACAAAAACAAGAAAAAAATCTAAAGCATCAGTTTGAATGCTAAGTGTAAGTTCTATATAGATTTCAGCTGTATATGTAGCAAGCCATGAGTCAGTGCCGGAAAAAGACAGGCGTGTTTATACATTCAGGAGGCAATTCCTGCAGTACAGCTTTCCATTATTGCTGAATTACAGAAACTGGCAGAAAATTTTGACTACTGTGAAATACTCAAATCGCACCATATGAATTTGTGCAGTATGTGAGAAAGGTAGTAGATGGAGATACAACACAGCCAAGGTCCCAAAGGAAAAGGGGGTTCTTTAGCCATTGCTAGGCCACCAAGACTGCCTCCCAACAAAAATTAGAAAATAGTCCCTCCTATTTTAAATTGAACAAGAAAAAAAAGCTACAGTGCCAAGCATTTCAGTTACTTGGGAAGATGCACGTAGCGCACTGTCCGATACCTAGCTGAAGTCACTGGAGAGACCCAAGGTGTCCTACTGGGATGCAAGCAACTTGAAATTGGCCGATGCGATTGGTTTGGGTTCGGAGGTCTCCAGATGCTCCATCAGTGAGGGAACTGCTAGTACAGATCTAGAGCAACCTAGACCCCAAGCTGAGTCTGATTTCTCTGGCTAGACACATCCTCCTGGAAGAACAGCACAACGTCAACCTCTGCAACGTACAGAGCAGCAAAAAAAAGTTTAGCAAGTTCCTCAAGTTACTTCCAACTGCTGACTTCCCAGAACGGCCTCCAATTACGTCCGGCACACCAAAGAAAGACTGCGCATATCAAGAGACCACAGCACAGGGATACTCAAAACCTGCAGCAAACAGAGAGCTCCTGCCCTGTGAGGTGTAATTGGTTTTCTCATTACAGATAACTGTGTCTGAACAAAACAAGCTCTCAGAGCAGAGCGGTGCATTTCTCAGATTTAGTCATCCCGGATAAATGAGAGAGAGAAGGAGATGTAACACTAGAACTTGAATCTGCTGAGAGATACTGCATGAGGAGCCGCACATACAAAGCTTACCCTGCAAGACTTCTTTCTCTGCCTGCCACAAAGAGAACCAAAGATTAACCTCTCAAAGCCTGGTAAGCTACTTCTCCCCATAAACTTCAGCTTTATTACATGCTGAGTTTTAAAACGAGCTAGTAGAAGCCATAAAGGTAACTCACAATGGTTTGTTCTCTGCCTGGGGAGGAAAAAGAAAATAGTACACCTTGTAGCAACATAAACAAACAAAAAACCTTCTTTTTTGTTTTGAAAGTCATTCCACTGCCTTGGCAAATTCTTAATTTATGTAATATGATGCCAGTTTGGAAGTATTCTACTGCTAGCCAGTTGTGGAAGCCTGTCCAACAACAAAAAATTGCACCACAACCCTATGGTTCCAGTGTTGATGACTTGGGGCGTGATGCTTCCTAATTCACCAGAACACAGCCTGTCCCACCCCAGACACAGCAGAGAGCAGCAAAGAACCGTAGGTTTGCAAACAGCAACCAGATCAGAGTAGCAAGAGGGAATTCTATACTTCATGTGATGCCAATGAAATACTTACAGGGTTGTGAACTTCATCTGTCGAATGATGAACAGCCCACCAGTCAGACGTCCATTCCCAGGCGTTTCCTACCATGTTGTACAAGCCATAGCCGTTGGGAGGAAACGCAGTGACCTACACAAGGTATGGAACACAAGTGCCAGTTCTGTAAACCACTCAACATGAATAAGGTTTTTAATCCTGAAGACTAGGCTGCTGGTCTGTACTAGGAGCTTCTGCCTTCGTATCTCAGAAGCAGACACCAAATTAGTGGTGCAGAACTTTTACATACTCCATCTAAATAAAACAGAGGGAAAAAATGAACTATTCTCATCCTCAACATTCTCAGCACCACATTTCCACTGTGGCACAGAGCATCTTATCGTTGGTTTTGGAGACTGATCCTCTGAAGACAGGCACTGTTTGACCAACAGGCGCAGCCCTGCACGTAGTATTAGTGACCTGACCTCCAAGCCCACGCTTACAACTTCCAGATTCCCTTTCCCATCAAAGAAGAGCAAGGGTGGCTGTCAACTCATGCATACTCAGACTTCTCTACCGATGAAACTTTTTGGACTTACTTTAACAGCCATTTAATAATTCATTCACATTCTTGATTGCCTTTAAAATTCCACTTGTTTGCCATACTAGACAGCCTCAACCTTTCCAAAAAGGGAAGTTTCATTTCTTTTAAACCACTGCATGATTTTTGTGCCTCAGGAACAACTACCCAAAAAATGAGAGTTCAAAAAATTGTAATGCCAAAAATGCAGGCAGAAAGTATTTGAGCATCTGACTATAAACTGACTGGAAAGGGGGAAAAGAGGTCAGTTTGAGAGGAACTAAAAGTTAACATGAAAATAATCTTTACTTTTCAATTAGCTTTTAAAAAGTGTCCCTTGCTAATACTCAAGCCTGCAGTGAAATTTACTGTAACTTTAAAAATCTAAAGGTGAAAGAGTACAGGAATGGAAGACAGCCATGGTTCATCGTGTTGAACACAGACCTCAATTTTAGGAAGACTCCGTTCATTTCCATACGATAATTCACTTTGAGACACACTTACCGGGGCAGTTCCTTTGTATCCATCTTCTGCAGTGTTACTGGTTGGGAACACTCCCTGCCAGATATTGGCATAATGTTGGCCTTTTGGCTGAAGCTTGTTGCCCCATGGGAAAAGTCTATTAGAAGACACACAGAAGAACAGTTATCAAACACTTCTTTTTTTTTTTTTAATTAAAAAAAAAAAAAGACACACCCCTCCCCTTCCACCCCACCTTACCCCAGAGAACTGTTTGTAACCCAGTTCCTTTGTACCAACACGTGGTGGGTTTTCAAGGAGAGCAAGGGTTCTACGAGGACGATTCACAAATGGAAGAGGGAAAGGCAGCACTTGCACTGCCCTGTGCAGTACGTAGTCCAGGACACAGGATGGAGAAGACATGAACCTATTATTCACCTTGCCTTCCCCTCCTCCCCAAGCCCACAGTCAGATAACGGGCGGATGCAGTGGCCCTACAGCTGCTGTGCAAGGATGTAGTTATTTACTTCTTAAGGTCTTTTGCAACTCTTTCGGCCTTGGCACTAAGGCCCTTCGCTACACCTTTCATCTCCTGCAGTCCTGTATTGGCATTTTGTCACATCATCTCCTTTCCCAGCCTCTCTGCATTCGCCTCCCATTACAGAGTTCAATATGCCATTTAGGTATTCAGGGAAATTCACTTACCTAAAGGAATCCGTTCAGAGTAAGCCAGTGTTATATTTACCACAGATGTGCATACTACACAAGAAAAAGACATTGAGGGTAATAAAACCCCACACAACTCTTCCCTATCTTGTAAATACCAGCTTTCAACATTTATCAGGGACACACTTGTGACAGGTACCTATTTTCAAGGCCCCCTCGACAGCTGTATTCCCATTCAGCCTCAGTTGGCAATCGTTTCCCTGCCCATGTGCAGAACGCCACAGCGTCATTCCAGGAAACATGAAGAACTGGATGATCCATTCTGGGGAGCAAAATAAAGAGGACAAGATCATCAGCAGAACTAGGCAATCTCACTGCTATACACCACAGGCACATCGTGAAACTCTTCAAAGAGATGGCCACAAAGGACTGTGAGGAATTCCACAGTTCAGTTACAACTGGACAAGGTATTGGATTACTTTTACAGAAAAGAAGCTATTTAAAGAAAAACAGCAAGCTACTAGTAGATGCTGTAGGGGTAATGCAGCCAGAGAAAAACAAGGAGGAGGGAAAAATGAAGCTCTGTTTTTCTGACCATGCTTTTATGTAGAGCTCTATCCAGTTAACAGAGACATTTATAGATTGTGCTTTCTCATGGTCTCACCTCAGAAACCCACTGTCCCCAGGAGCCAGCGAAGAACTATGGATACACTGGCTTCTGTGGAAACATGGGTGCTCAGAAACCCAAAGGAGGACACCAAGAGCCTGCAGCATTACTGCTCCTCGCTAGGCTACTTTAACAGTATCTTAACAAGAAGCCAAGATTCTCAACAGGAAAATTTACATTGCAATTTAATGGCAAACGCTCTTAACTTCCCTGTGCACTCTTCTCTTTGCTGCAGGTTCTTTCTTTGCTGTCAGCTGTGGGCCTTTTGAGGGAGAGGTGAGAGGAGAAAGACTCCTTACTCTTAGCAACATCATCTTTTGCAGCACCCAATCTGGGAAACAGCGAACTGCAGAAATTTAACACAAAGGTATTTTTCTTTGGGTGTTTCAAGCAGTCTGCAGTTTGCACAAAAGCTCCCATCTTTCCTTTGGTTCGGTTCCAGGAGTGCCCTTACAATCCCGGTCTCTTTTTCCAGAAAAAAACAGAAACAATGCCTAGTCATTCTTGCCACAAGTATCCTCCCCATCCAAGCCTCTAATAGACCAAGATCCTTCAAAAGCTGAGGGTACTGGTGCAGAAGACAGATACAGGGGATTTCCTATTAACCTGTCTTTCCTGCCTCATTTAACAAGCCATATGCCTGTCGGTCCATCAGACCACTTCCATGCGGCAAGTTCACCAGCAGCTGCACCAGGCTAGGTTGGCACCATCCTTCTACAAGACTAGATTTACATGGCAGGTTTCCAACTCTTATCTGCTGACTGCGACCTAAATTTCTCCATCTCCCCCTAACAACGCCTCCTGATATTATCTCTATTTTTGCCTCAGATAATTCCTTCATTGCCCTTGGAGAACAGACAATGGACTTGTTACTAAGCAGTTCAGCCATCAGATGACGTTAACACTAACATAGCCCTGTCCTTAGAGGACTCAAAAACATGCCAGCATCTACTAGATCTAGGCTAGAGAGTCTGACTTCATTTCAAACAGCAGTTTTGAAACTTTAACTAGGCAGTTAAGGCAGCTAGCACCAGCTCCACTGACACCTGCCTAGCAAAAGAAGGAGTTGCAATGTAAGAGGGCCCAAATGAAGGCAGTCACATCCAAGCATGCAGTAATATACATAACTGAACAATGGCCTTCAACATGTGCAACCCAGGGCTAGTTCTGCAGTATCCATAAAAAGCACCTGAAAATAACGAAGCCTTTTGATTTTTGAGGCATAAAATTCATTCCACTTCTGAACTGAAAGAGATCACGCAAAGACACAGATCAGCAAGTTTCAGGGTTCATGCTACCAAAGCATGGCACTAACTATAGGCTAAGGAAAAAAACGCAGTTTTCCAAAGCATTTAGAGCTTATAAAGTCACAACAGTCAGCCTACACAAGTAAGAACACATTAAAAAGCACAAAACTCTTCAGTCTTCTGCTGCCAGAGAGGTAGGTCTCCAGATCCCAGGTGGAGGACACACTACATGGACTCCTAGAGTACACACGCAGCTGGTATTTAGTCGTCTTCTCCAAAACCAGATCTGCACCAAATGCTCTAAAGTTGCTGATCCTCTAAAGATCTACTCTGTTTCACTGCTGATATATAAATGCAAATAGAAAACTGAAGCATGTTTCAGTATGGTCTCTTTTCCCTTGGGTGGAAAGTGCTTATAGACCTTTTTGAAATACCACTATGCCATTGACCACACGACCACAGAGTATTGCATGCAAAACACTAGAAGATATGAAAATAGTCACAGAAGCAGTGGCAAGCGGATTACTAATTAAAAACCCTTTCTTGTACCTCCATTCCTGGTGCAAGTTTACAGGTATATTTACAAGCACTGTGTATTATAATTGAATGGCCATTTATGGCTTACCTGTTGGAGACATTGGAGTCAGGACCCTCGGGGTGCTTCCAGTTGGCTCCCTTCACAGGCAACCACCAGGGAGCAGCTGCAACCTGGAAAGGGACAAGAGTAGCCAGGGAAGGAGACTTCAGTTCCCAGCTAAAGGCTACTGTGAAAAACCCCCACGTGACAACAGGCTACAAAGCTTTCCCTCACAGCTCGTGGCTCTGCCTGCAGCCAACCGACCTATTACCCTGACAAACCAGGATGATAATTTGATCCACGCTACAATACTGCTGGCCAGGGAATAGCCTAAGGTATGGAACAGCACAAAGAAAATACCACCCAAAAAACAAGCGAGAGGGAGACCAAATCCTGAATATGCTTTTCTTAAGTACTGCCCTCTGGCTCTCTCCTTCCCTTCTACGTTTTCTCACCTGCAGGTCTGATACAAGGCACAGTTTGTTCTCTTTGAAGGCACAGCCTTCAGCATGCTACCTGTGGTGGACCAGACTATCCTCTCAAATTCTCAATTAGAGTTCTTCACCTCTGGAAACATATGCCAAGAAAATTCAGATGGTAATGTATGGAAGAGGTCATCTGGGACATTGCAGTTTTACTCGATTCTTTTACAACAGTATGCCCACAGTACGCTTAAGCCAGCTAACCTCCTGGCTGACTTCAGTCTGACACATTCTACAGAGATGATAAAAAAAAAAGACAGACAGTTTTGGCTCAGAAGATAATTTTTTCCCAATTATTTGCTCCCTAGACACAGTGTTCTGGAATAACTAAAACAAAATCCTGATGACATCCTTTAACTAGGGTCAAAACACGCATCCTGAAACACATTTGCTTTCCAGTTAATTAACTCAGTAAGCTGATATTAAATTATTTGCTATCAGCTTCCAGAAGGTGGAGACAGAAGAGTCAGAGAAGTGAAGCCTTTTTTTTTTTTCTTCCCCCCAGTTGGTTGGGTGAGCAACATCCAGCCAACAAAATATTCTGTAACAATGCAGACATCGAGTACTTCTCTCTAACCAAAAGCGTCAAATTTGGTTCTGCAATGCCAAGGAATTATTCCTGGAATACATTCATTAAGGGTTTCTTCTATTAAGCCTACTTCAAAGCTGAGAAGGTCAGTGCACAGCACGTTTAACTATTCTATTCTGATTCACATTCACTTAGAAATACTTATCTTAAGAATGGGTCCTTTTGGAAAATTGAGGCAAAAAAAGAACACTTAAGCTAACCATCAGTAGTGGTTTTATTCCAGCAGCTTGAGTGCTTGCTTCCAAAATACTCCTGTTACGGAGATAATTTCCATAATGAACAAAAATTGAAGTCAATAAGCCTCCAATGCTTTAGGAGTTAAACAACCTACCAGCTACCTAGCCCTAGGCCTAGGAGATCCAGATGCTTCTCTAGTCCTGGCCTGCAGAACAACCTTCAGCAACTGCTGCCCTCCCTACTGCCCCTCAGCTTTCCCCCCTCGAGAGATGGCAAAGGGAAGAAGCAGAACATTTATTTCTCTTCATCGTGCTGCTAAACCAACTTTGTAAAGTGTTATACACACAGGTAGGAGTCGTGCCAAGAGTGTTATCCTTTAACTCACCAAATCCTTCACGGGAAAGTCCAAAAGTAAAAGTCACTGAAAGCTGGTACTCGGGAGACAGAGCGTCAGCCCGGTCAAACAATTTTAACAGCAGCTCCTAGGAGGAAGCTGCATCTGTCAGCAGTGATGAGCATTTAACACGTAATTACACACGTGCGAGAGAAAAAATATCTATGACAAACACAAGTTAAGAAAAACTCTGGTCCAAAGTACACATCAGATGCCTCATTTGAATGTTTCAGGAGGAAAATAAACTGCAGTGCCTAAGAAACAGAAGTGCTGCTGATACAGAAAGATATATTATTTTATTTTTAAAGCATCTGATCAGTGTATGCTATAACAGCTCCCATGACAGCTTTTCACTCTTCTCCCACCATCACATACAGAGTTTGCCTACAGCATGCATCTGGGTACCTTACCTAAAAGCTCACTGTAAATCAATAGCAATCCTGGACTAAAGCTGCAGACTTGTTGGCTTCAGCTCAGCTGAAGAGCCCACAGCTCTTTGCGAGCTCTAGGCAAGAGCGCTGGAATCCCTAAACACGCTGCGGGACTCCTCCAGGCTGGGAAGCCATCCACACGTGGGTTTCTGATGCCCTCTTTTCCAAAGCGAGTGAAGAGGAGAAGACATCGGTGTTGAATACAAAAGAAATAAAGATGCTCTCAGCAGCTTGCTGATGACTGAAGTGTTCTGTCCATGTGCTCTCCATCTGAACAGGACCCTTCAGGCGTACCACTGAAGTAATGGCATTTCTTAAAGATCCTGCTCTCTGATCTCCCTAGCATGACGGCACATAATTGACAACACCAACCACATAATTCTGGCTCAGTATCTACGCAAGCCAACGATCATCTTCCCACAAATCAGCGCCCCTACCCTTTTCAAAAAAGCATGAGAAATATTTGATCTCTTACTAGAAACGACAGCTCTGTTACTGAGCATTCAAACCCAAAGATGGGATCTTCGTTCAGAGAGGTACTCAGCTCAACTTTCATAGCACTGAAGCTTCAGAATGACCAAGCTGCTAAACAGAGACTACAGTCAACAGGCTTAAAACTAGTCCGATTTAACCAATTCCTTGTATATTCTGAGCTTTAACCTTTAATCTATACTCAAGATAGGACAGAAATCCAAACTTAGAATTTTACAGCTCTTTAAGGAAAATAAGAGAGCCGCAGTACTATTTGCTAAAGGTTCTCCGTGAATCTGGAAGATCACGAGTAAGACTTCATCACAATAGTTTTAAGCACAACACGTTTTTGTAAATTGAACTGCTGGTTTTTGCATAAAAATCTCTGCAGGACACTGCAAAGACTTCAGCTTTAGAGGACTTTAGTTTTGGAAAACATTTTTGTTATGCAAAAGAAAAAGCAGATGCTTTCAATCAGAACGGTTTATTTTAAACCGAGAAAAATATAATCTCTCCGCATGAGAGCACTATGCGTGCATGTCTTCTGTTTCTGGCTCTGCTGCACTGAATGGCTGCCAGTCTTTGCAGAACACCCAGATCTTTAGAGAAGTTACACATATAGTACTAGGACAGCGATAACAGTGATAGACTACATACAACCTTCAATAATTAATTGGAAACTAATCTAAGTCAGCCACTGACACCAGCGAGCATGCACCAAGATGCTCCTCCCAAAAGAGAAAGTCGTGTACCTGAAATTTACAGTCCTTTCAGCAAACTTCTCAGAAGTCTTTAAAGCTTTTAATTGCTCTGAATCTAATTAGTAGAAGAGCTAATTAGACAGAGATATTACATCACAGTTAATACGGCAAAGCCCTCCCTTGCCACTAACGAGCTTAGTTACTTTCATACTGCTTAGCGTTCTCATGCTTCACTCCGAAACATGTGTTCTGTAGACCGGCAACAGATCCGTTTTGTAAAAATAGCAGCATATGCTGCTGAATAGATCTCGAAGAGATACGAAATTAGAGGACAATACCTCCCTCATTTTGATTAACTCGTTACAGCACAGCCCATCACTTGTAACAGAACTGGTTAAACATAACTGCTCTGCAAACGTTATACAACTGCCTCGGTATGTAAGGAAATGCAGTTCTAGGAGCAAAGGACACTGAGGAGGCAGAGAAGCTCAATGCTTGTTTTGGTCTGATCCAGCTGAAAACTTGGATTATCCAGCGCTCTGCTCCAGGATTAAACTTTAAGAACTCACTGCTCTGCTTATCACCGACTCATAGCGCTGTCAAGAAAAGAGAACGCAATATGACAATACTGGGAAGATACTAACAGTTAACTCCAGCCTACAAGTTTTCCACTCAAATGAAGCAATTTGCGGAACTGAAGCCTATACTCCCACTCTCAGCTTGCATAAAATTCAAAGTTTTAAGTATTCAATTTTCTTTTCAAAGTAGGCCGGGATATCCTAACTTTAATTGCTCCATTAACTGGTGATTTCAAGATTTTTAGACTACTTTACAATTATCTGGAAGAAAATTCCTTCCTAAATACATACTGAAAAAATGAAAGGAAGGAACATCAGGAAAGGCAGTTTCATCGTCAGCATTACACCACTGCTGCCACTACAAAAACAGCAGGGGAATACCCTTACAAACACACACACAAAAAACCCCCCAAAACCCCAGCTAATAACCATGAAAACTTTCGTATTGGTCTCACGTTAGATAAAAACAACACCCCACCTTACCTCCAAGTTTTAAATTCAAATCACATTTATGTATTAGAAGAATTACCAAAAAGAAACTCAACTGAGTAGCTAATCATGGCTCTAAATCCATTTCTAACATGCAGCAAGTCACTTGAAATAACTGAGCTGTAGATTATAACCTTAAGTCAGGCCCAAAAGACAATGAGAAATTCACACTGTTGCCCAGACATGTAGCACCAAACATCTTTTTTCTGATGTGCTACAGCATTCTAATGCTATTTTATTATAGCAAGGCCTGCATACGCTAGGTCAAGATAAACATCTGGGAGAAGCAAAAGTTATTGGAGAGTAAGAACTTTAGTAATTTAGGAATCAATTGCCTGAGAAGAGATTTTCTCAGTGAAAAGTAGTCTAAGTTTGGAAAACACAAATCATTTATTAAGAACCATTTATTAAGGTGAGTTCTTAAAGAAAGATGCGCACGCTTCAGTTTCAGAAGCTGACTTAGCAGGTTACCATTTGTTTGAATCGGACTGTGTTAAGCACTGTACATCTTTAATTTGCAAAAGCATCCTCTTGGCTGCAAAAGCAATGTGTGCATAGCCTGGAATCTGGGAAGTTATGAAGCTTTATCTCTGGGAAATATACCCAGTGGTCTGGACACCCTCATTGCTAGCATTGGTAGGATATGAGAAAAAATTAGTTATTCAGTAAAGAATATAATTTTTGGATGAGGTTTTATTTTATCTATGTAAGGCAGATACACATAAATCTCTGTCAATTTTTCCTCCTCTAAGCCACATCCTAAACCCTGAACAGCTGATTAATGAACTACTGAAGAAAAAGGCTGACAGAAAACAGAAC